CTCCTCCTTCCCCATCTTCCCCTCCCAAGTTTTCCAAAGCAATGAGTTGTCAAACATTTAGGCTGTCTCCACACTGGTATCCCTTCCAGAAAAGGGATGCTAATGTAGCACTTTGGAATAGGCAAATTCCCTTGAAAGTAGGAATAAGAGATCCTCTGGAAAAGGCTTTATTTTCCGGAGAATCACGTCTAGACTGGCGCTTTTCTCCGGCTTATCTCCAAGGCGGAAATAAGCGGCAGCCATGTTAATGCAAATACCGTGGGGGATATTTAAATCCCCCGCGGATTTGCCTATTCCAGAGTGCTACATTAGCATCCCTTTTCCGGAAGGGATGCCAGTGTAGACACAGCCTTACAGTAGATGTACATAGGGCTTATTCATATTCAAATAAAGCCATTTTTCTGGCCTAGAGTTTTGGTGGTTTCCTACTCTTTCTCTAGAGTATTTCTCTCAGTAGTGCCATCTAATCAGCTTTAGGTTTTAATTAAACAGCTGTCATTTGCTTCCTAGTTCTGTTGCGACCTGATGTTGTATTAAATTTTAATTTGGCCTAGTCTGGATAAGAAGTAGATTCCTTCAGACAACAAAGAAACACTATTAGCAGGTTACAGTTGTAATTAAGAAAAGCTCTGCTGAAGTGCTAATGCATGCAGGTACAGAGAAGGAATTAGAGATAAACACTTATGTAATTATTATTCAGGGACAAAGCAGGCAATATGAATATGCAGCTCCTATCTGAGTTAATAGAATTCCATTTTTTGTACGATATCTATACTTTAAAAAAAAATCTCAGAGCACTGAGGCCAGAATAAGGTATTTACTGTTTTACATCTAAGATGTTTTAGACTATCTGCTAAGAACCTCAGCTGGTTAAACTTGGCATAGTTTCATTAACTTCTGTGGAGTTCTGCCAGTTTATGCCAGCTGATGATCTAGTAAATCAGTGTTTTTTTACTCTTCCATAGATTTCAGCACTGTCAGTGATACCCACCATAGACATGTTAAATACAGGAAATGGTTTTGTCTCTAACAAGCCCTACTATAGAGGTACAAAAAACACCTCATTGAGTCTAACTGAAATGTTACTTGTCAAAGATAGCTCTCTCTTTCTAACTCTATATATCTTAGGGACGGGCAATTAGTTCAATTCAGACTTCACACTCTCACATAGGAAATACTTTTTCGGCGTCTGAAAATAGCTAGTGTGTAAAAAGGTCTTAACACAGGCAGCTGTGGTTGCATAAGACTGGATCCAAGCATCTGAAATATTGATTTTATATCAGATTTTTCTCCCACTGAAATTTATTTTGGTGATGCAGCAGCAACTAATCAGCATGGTAGGTTTTTCAGCATGCTGAGAGGAGCACGGGGCAACACTTATGCCAAGATCAAGATAAAAGTGTTTTAGAATACCCATAAATAAATGGGCTGGTGATATGTCAATTGTTAGATCTTTTCTCTTCTCCTTCACTTCCCAGTTCATACGATGAGTACAAAAGGATTACAAATATATTTGGAATCTGCATTAACCATCGGCAGTGCTAAAGATGGATGTCAATATAACTGCTAATCACCAATAGGTTTTCTAAGGGAAGCTCATTGTGTCCAATTTTCTTCTCACTTAAATTGGTGAAAAGCAGGAACAATTCCTGGTTACTGGTATAATAACTGGTGCAAAACGAATGTAGGCGATATCAGCCAGGCCTATTAAGGCCTATGAAGTCAATGGAAAATCTTTCCATTAACATCAATGGGCTTTGAATCAAGCACTAAGTGGTGAGTCATGTGGTTCATATTTCCTTCCCTTTCTCTCCCTGAAAAGAATTCTCAAAAATAAGGATTATTCAGGATAGTCTTGTTAATTATGTCCCTTGTGGGAAGTATTTTTCTATCTGATTCTTTGAAGAAAAAAGTCCTTTATGAAAGAATGGCTTGGAAAACAGCATTGCAACACAGTGGTCCAGGTAAAAATGTCTGACTGTATGTGATTGGCAGGGTGCTCACCAGTGGTTTTGACATGGATGAAGCAGTCTGAATTTGATCTTATATGTTTTCTATAATCTACATTTTATTTTTGCTCAAGGTGATACATTTTGATTCTTACTCTTGCTCAATCTTTAGTCTTTGAATGGACTTCCAGGTTTTGTTTTGTTTTGTTAAACTTCTGCTTCTGTCATCTATTTCTTTCACCCATGCTGTGCCTCCTTAGTGAATGACAGCTGGTTATAAATGAGACTGACCAACATAAATGAACATAAAACTGATATTTACTGCACAGTGCCTCTGGTTTATGCCTTATATATTGTAGAACAAAGAATATATATTTCTTTCTTGAGGCTTTATACTAGGGATGTTAAAATTAGATTAATCAACTAATCGAATAATTGATAGAATTTCGATCAACTATTTGATTAGTTGATAAAGGCACTTCTGCTTTGAAATGAAGAAAGAGCCTGCCAGGATGTTGCTACATTTCAAAGGTAGAAGTGCCATGGCATTCTGCCTTTAAAATGTACAAGAACCCAGGTAGGGACTTTTGTGCATTTCAAAGATAAAAACACCACGTGGAGTCTAAGACCAACAGGGGACTTAGAGTACCCTTCCCCCACCCCCAGTCCTGAGCAATATGGGGCTCTTGTGCATTTCAAAGATTGAAACACCACATGGAGCTTGGGGCTAGTGGGGAGTCCCCCGCTGACTCTAGGCTCCATGCGGGGCTTCCGCTTTGAAATGTACACGCCCCTGCAGGGGCTATTGTACATTTCAAATATTGAAACTCCCCACTGGCTCCAGGTTCCACACGGTGTTTCAGTCTTTGAAATGCATAATAGCCCTTGCTAGGGTTCTTGTACATTTCAAAGGTGCACCCGCACCTCTTCTCCCCCTCCCCCCTTCCACTGCTGCCTCTTTCTGATAGAGGCAGCAAGGGAGGTAGTGCAACTAGTCAACTAGTGTGTTGATTATAATGTACACGCCCCTGCAGGGGCTATTGTACATTTCAAATATTGAAACTCCCCACTGGCTCCAGGTTCCACACGGTGTTTCAGTCTTTGAAATGCATAATAGCCCTTGCTAGGGTTCTTGTACATTTCAAAGGTGCACCCGCACCTCTTCTCCCCCTCCCCCCTTCCACTGCTGCCTCTTTCTGATAGAGGCAGCAAGGGAGGTAGTGCAACTAGTCAACTAGTGTGTTGATTATCTGATACACTTTTGTTTATCGGGTGGTCGACCAGTCGCTTAGTCACTTACATCCTTACTTTATACAGAACAGCAGATGCTTAAATCCCTTTGAAGTGAAAGCTTTGAGTAAAGCACATGTCTTTGTACTGTTCCAAATAGAAATGGACTCAAGGCTTAAGTGCTTTCTTAGAACATGATTGATGGCAAAGCCCTTGTCTGCTTTGTTAATTAGCGCTGATGTTTAGTATTTCATTGAACTCAAGCTCCCTTCTGGGAAAAAGTTGCCCAATATTAATAATATACTAGTTCAATCTCTCTAGTATGGCACCCTCAGAACTTGACTGGTGCTGAACCAGAGTATGTGCCAAACCATGGGATGTCAATATTGTCTAGCAGCATTGCCAACACTTCCACTGCTTAGTGGGCTCTTAGAAGACATTTTGGGTAAATTAGAACTAAAAAAACCAGCACAGAACACTGAGAGCTAGGATGAATGGCTGTAAATAAACTTTTTGGTACCATAGGAAACTTGGCCACACCCAAGCTAAGTGGACATCTGGCTAACTGAAATCATGCTGAATCATGAATGTTGTCAAACCAGAGAGTGCTAGTTGAGAGAGGTTCACCTTGTACCTTAATTGCATGTACTTATTGGCCATCTGCTGATGTCTGCAGCTTGTGGTGTACTCCCATTGTTTCCTATTAATTGAGCTAGCAGTCAAAAAAAAAATGATAGTGACTATACCTCATTGCCTGTGCAAGCCATTGTCACATCTCTCACTTAAATTTGGTTCTTTTCCCATCCATGTGAATTATAGACTTTAAAGTCAGATTAGTTGGGTTGCTACATTCTACCTCCCCCCCCTCCCCCCACCCATTGCTGATAAACAAGAAATGATTTTATGGAAGTGATCAATAGAAAGCTGATTGATTTTATTGAAAAACCAGCCAGCTGCGAGGTGCTTCTAGAAATCAGAGACTGAACTGAAACAAGCATTGCTCATACTGTGCAGCATGATGGGTTGGCTCTGCACGCATGTCTGCTTTGTGAAGCATGAGGAGCCTATTGGGTAGTGTACCTTTGGACATTCTACTTCAATCTTCAGTTACCTAGACAAGCGGGGGACCATAACACTAGCTCATTTGGGCAATTAATCATACTGCCTCCACACCAATGTATAAATGAAGGCTGTGTTAATGGAGTCATTAGCTTGCTGGTTCTATGAATCCATCAGAAGAGAAGATAAATATGGCTTGGTGGTCAGTAAAAAGTCTCCAGGTGGGATGTTAATGGGGAAAGAATTTAAAATTTGCATTTGGCATTCTGTTGTTTTGGCGCCATATCCCTTTCTAGCATTACATGAAAATGAAAGCTCCCAAAGAAAGAAAACGCTTAACAGGCACATCTTTTAAGGAGAGTTTGGGAAACAATGGAAGAGGGGAAATCCTTTTATTGTAAAACTTGGGATCTCCATCTACAATCATTGACATAAGTTGGCAGTTGGGGATGGAAAGATTTGTGTAACACTATGAAGAATGTGATATAAGACCTGTTTTCTTCAAAGTATTAAGAAAAATGCAGAACCAACCAGATTTATTGCCTCATGCTAGCACTATCTATCAGTGTATTTATAATTTGCTACTTTGTGTAAACAAATTACGTTAGCAGTGCATGTAATTTTTAACATTGCTAGTCAAGGATGAAGATCAATAAGCATTGGGACTAATTTCTAACAACACTGGAAATTTCTACATGATGCCTTGTGGTCATGCTGATTTAACATGAACCCTCTTTTTTGTGCATGTGTGTGTATGTGCAGGATACAGAAGTCCTTAACACAGCCATCCTGACAGGGAAGACGGTATCTGTTCCAGTGAAAGTGGTTGCTGTACAGGAGGATGGTTCTGTGATTGATGTTTCAGAGTCCATTGAATGTAAATCAGCTGATGAAGATGTCATAAAGGTAAGGAGGCTTGGCTAACCTGAGGTGTGCAAGGTGGGGAGATGAAGTGGCCCCTTTCTTTCCCCCTTGTTGTGCCCCTTAACAAAAGTTGGACACAATTGCTGTCCTTATGCCTGGCAATGGCCTCCACCTTTGCAATCATGGAGCTTCCCCTACCCTCTGAAATGATCCAGTGTGACTGGCAATAGTGGGGCTTCTAGGCTCTTTTCTGGCTGCCTACAGCTGTGCTTCTCTGCTGTTGGGGACACTGAAATACATGTGCAGGCCCCTCAGTGGTGCTAAATAACCCAAAGGGGATATGGGAGAATGGACTCATACCCCTGCCTTTCTTTGTGCCGGCTAGCAGATCAGTACCGCTGAGAGAGGGAAACACATGCTGTCTGATGTGTTACACTTGGAAGGAATCAAACCATCATTCAGGGACCCTTGTTACCTTGCACCACTACTGCAACCCTTATTACATAAATAGCAAGTGTAATAAATCTGGCTGGAGTTGGTATATTGCAAGTTTGCTAAGGCTATGTATACACCACAGGGATCTACAGGAAAAAGGTACGCAAATTGTGCTCCACTTACACTGGGCCAAATTTTAGAAAAGCCTCCTCTTTTGGAAGAGCCATTCTTCCTCTGCTCTTTTGCAAAAGAAAAAAGTGGAAGAGCAGACATGTTCCCTGGATGTGGCAGAGTTTTTCCAGGATACCCCTGGTATCCCGAAAAACCCCTGTAGTATAGACATAGCCTAATACACTCCTGATCTTCTGTTTTTCCAGTCCAGAGCTTCTCCAAGCAGTTTCACTGTATCAAGTTCAGAGGTGGCTTTGTATAAGAGCGATAATTAGATCAAGAGAGAAATTCTTCCACTATTGAAGTCAAAGGCAAAATTCCAGTTGATTTCAATGGGGCAAAGATTTCGCTGCAAAGGACTCAAACTTAGTTCTACTGAGATGAAAGACTACTTGCACTTTTACATAATACCACTTGGTATACAAGAAAGCATATTAAAAAACACCAAAACTTTTTTATAGTAAGATTTATGGCTTTTTAAACCATCTTGTTCCTTCCACCTACTGTAGAAAAGCAGATTTTCCTTTCAAATGTAATAGATTAAATTGGTTCCCTCTACATAAGACTGATCACTGGAGAGATAAAGGCATTATACGTATGACCTTTTTGAGTCTTTGACTGTATAACTTTGCTGTTGTTGTTACCATATAAATCAAAGTCATACAAATTATTATATGGTCATAAAGGTAGAGAAATAGTTTTAAATATCTTAACTAGAGTTGTGTGTCTGTTATGTCTGCTTTTTTGTTAGTGGTACAGAAGGTATCAGATCAAAGTAGGGTTATCTTGCCTTTATCCTTAACTCTGTGGAGTTTTCAAAGAGTGCTCTTGGAATGGTCATTGTTTTTCTTTCCCTTTTTTTGTCTGAGTGACATAGACACAGCTGTTATGGAAGATAAAGCTCTACATTTACCTCTTCTGCAAACAGAGATCCTGTGACCCAAATACTAACTGCTTTTGTAGCCTGACAAAGAAAGGTCCTTTTGGTCTTCTAGATAGTAACTGTGTCTTCTTTACATATCTTTCAAGCTGTGACAGACCGTATTTATATGTTCTCTGTAGATTATTATTTTGAAGCACCAAAACCCATATCTTAAAATTTTAACTCATCAGTGTAACCTTTTTTGCAGAGAAGACCATAGAGGTATTAGTAGATGGCACATACATTGTTAGAGAATTTTTCATGCTGTCTTAGAAGAAGGTACAGCATCAACCTATTATTCATTTAGAAGTATCTATACATAGATTTTCACCAGATCCAAACCCACCTTCTCTCTTCCTATTTAAAAAAAATGTGAAATGAGTTAATTATCAGTCATTGCATCTGGTATTTGGAAACAAAACACATACCAATTTATCTCCAAAGACAATAAAGGGGCTTAGGAGTTAAATAACTTTTTTGGTACCTTTACTGGTGACATATTGGAAGTGTTCCTAGTAAAAGAGGTGTTTTCATCGGTATCTTGTAAGTATTGAAAAAAATCTTAACAGAAGCATACTTTGGTATACTGCATTTTATGAAGTGAGCAAATGTTCTTACGCCACATGTGGACAAAAATGAAATGTGCTGAAATTTGTACCATATCAGTTTAAATACATAAATATTTGACTAAAGAAACACAACCACATTATATTGTCAAGTCTGGAAGGATCTAAACCAAATCATATATCACCCTCATCAAATTCAACACAATATTTTAGGAGCAAACAATTTTTTTACTGCAGCTTCCTTAATTATGCCATCAGTTGAGTTTTTCAGGTTCCCAGATTTATGCTAGCAGGTTTTGCGCACATTTGTTCAGGTTTGCTTGTGGTTTTTTTGTTCCATCCAACAGCCAGGGGCCGACTGGCCCGGCAGGATACTGGGAATTTCCCGATGGGCTGTCGTCCGGTGGGCTGTCGTGTCCTCACGCCATTGCCTCTCACTCCAAGTGGCTCCGTGTCTGCGCTTTATGCGGCATACAGAGCCCGACCTGCTGCCTGCGCTGCATGCTGGACATAATGCAGGGGCTTGAGGGCACGCAGGGGTAATGTCATGGAGAAGGCCGTTCTCAGCCCATTTCCCGGGCCTATTTTGATTGCCAATATGCTCCTGCCAACAGCTGAGCAACTTTTGCTTGCTTTTGGGAGTTATTTTGGGATGAACAAGAAAAGGATATACCCCTAATAGAATTAACATCTACAGCCTATGGGGAGATGTTACATTTCAAACTTGCCTGTTTAAAATCCAGTTAGTTCCAGGGGCTGTCCTGGGTATGGGTAGGGTGTCAAAACTGGGCAGAAAGTTTTTCTGGTTCCTGAACTGAAAAGGTCCACTGCAGCTGGCAACTAAATAAAGCTTGACATGACCTCTAAGAAAAGAGACGCGCTTTCCAGTTGCAGCAGTGAATTTATACACTTAGGCTACGTCTAGACTGGCAAGTTTTTCCACAAAAGTGGCCGCTTTTGCAGATAAACTTGCCAGCTGTCTATACTGGCCACTTGAATTTGTGCAAGAACACTGACGATCTGATGTAAGACTGTCAGTGTTCTTCTGCAAATACTATGATGCTCCTATTCTGGAAAAAGCCCTCTTGCGCAGTGTGGACAGCTCAGGACTGTTTTGTGCAAAAAAGCTCCAATGGCAAAAATGGCGACCGGGGATTTCTTGGGCAAAACCGCGTCTAGATTGGCATGGACGCTTTTCCGCAAAAAGTGCTTTTGCGCAAAAGCATCCATGCCAATCTAGACGCTCTTTTCTGCAAGTGCTTTTAACGGAAAAATTTTTCCATTAAAAGCATTTGCAGAAAATCATGCCAGTCTAGACGTAGCCTACGTGAAAGCAAGGCTCCTGCCATTTCACTGCTTTTATTTCCTTTTTTCAAAATAGGTTTTATTCATGGGCAGAATAAGACTGAAGGGCCTGATCCAAGGCTTATCTCAGGGGAAAGTTTTCTATTGACTTTACTGGGCTGTGGGGAAGGCCCTAGAACAGCAGACTAAATCCATCACCCATTTACACCTATTTATATTATCTGATTTGTTTCAAAGAGGGTGCAAACCAGTGCTTAACTGAGCCTGCTGTGTAAAAGTTTCTGGGCCCCTTACCTGGGATCACACCCTGTTGTTAGTAGAACAGGTGGACCATTATATGAATAATTATTGTAATTATCCAAAGCCAAAAGGTCTGATTTTTTTTTATGCTAAGGCCACTTTACCCTAGTCATGTAGGAATCTAAAGGGGTGTCATTTCATTGTTGTTATTACAATAACTGCATAACATATTTTATCCAAAATTATTGATATGTTGTCGCAAACTTAACTCCACTCTAAAATGTTTTTTTTAGCAGGGAATTTAGCAGGCTAAAACCTATAATTTTTAATTAGCTGAGTTGGAATTTATTGTAGATACAGGGGTTATCTATCTATCTCAGAAAAGATATTTATCTGCCCCCTCTATATAAGTACACTTTGCAAAATCCACATTGATTTCACTACCAGATATATTCTTTTTGTCCATGTTCTGTCTAGAGTTAAACGCTCTCATAAAAGTCAGTTAGGTTGGATGTAATTCACTAATTTTGTGCTTCATTACACCATCAATTTCATCCTATGTTGTTCCTTCCTAATTGGAGAGATGTCATATTCAGCTGGCCAGAACTGAAAGCATTGCTTTCTTAACCATTTCATTTCTCTTTAGTAGATTATGATTAATAGATTGTTAATGAAACAATGATCCTGTTTGCTCATTTCTGTCCTTACTCTTAATTATAGCGAAGTAATACCACTGAATTCAGTTAAACTACTATGGGTTTACACTGATGTACATGAACAAAATTGGTCCACTTACTATTTATGTGTTACCCAGTATGTGTACATTTACACCATGTTGAGTGCAGCATAAATATGTAGGGCCCAGATCCACAAAGCTACTCTGGCGTGTAAATTTTGAGTTTAGGTATCTAAATCCCATTTGGGGCTCCATTGTAATCCACAAAACTTCTAGTGAATCCAGTAACCACCTAAACACACTAAGTTTCTTCCCCTGGAAATTAATGTTCCCTGTAAGCTGGGCACCAACAAAGTCACTGATTGGTGCCACTAGATCAGTACTGCCAAAACCATACAATGGAAAATGCTTAAGTCACTGGGCCAGAGCAAGTGAATGATTGTGTAGCCCGGTGTTTAAGGCACTCACCTGCAAATTGGTGACCCAAATGCCAGTCTCTATACAGATAAATGTTTAAGTATTTTATACCAAGTGGATCAGTTTCAACAAAAGAAAATGGGGGAACCCACCTATCACTCTGTGGTTCGGCCACTCTCCTGAGAGGAAGAGCCCTGAATTCAAATCCCTATTCTACATCAGCCAGAGTGGGGATTTGATCCTGGGTCCATGTAGATGTGTGTGCTCAAACCACTGGGTTAAAAGTTGGGAGTTGAAAGCAAGAGCAGCC